CCCCTCCCCCCCCAACCCCACCGTGCCCGCAATCCATCGCCCTCCATCCTCAGGACGCCCCGTCTCCAGGCTTCACCCATCTCCCTTTCGCCGATATTTTAATTTTTCCCTCTGCAGAGCGAGAGATTTCTCTGCTTTCCACATCCCGACCGCTCCTAATGCCGACATCCAGCCCCGCCGCCGCGTTCCCTTTCATCCCATCAACAAACTGAATTTTCCAACTGGATTTTTTCCATTTTTCCCCCCCCGATATCATCTCTCTTTCTCCATCTCCGGAGCCGACGTCCTTCTGCGGGTTTCAGTTCCCTCTGCCGGCTCCGCGCCACATTACAGCCTCTTCCCCGAGGGGGTTAAAAAAAAAAAAAGGAATTTTTTTTTGGCAGGCGGAATTAAAATCCCGTGGCTCCGTCCGAGCGCAGGGAGCACCGTCCCGGCGAGCTCCGTCCTCCCGCGTCTCGCTTGTACCGTCGCCTAACGAAGCGCGGAAACGCTAATCGCCGTAATCGAGGCGATTTTTTTTCCTGATTTTCCCACTTGGCCGTGAATAAACGCCTCAATGGGAAGGTTCGGCGTCTTCTAAAGCGATCCGGTCGCCGCGTCTCGAGATGCCGCCGCGGTTGGGATTCCTTAATCCCCAGATTCGTTATCTGCTTATTCTTAATTATTTCTTAATCTATAGATTAAGGTAGTATTATGTTCGGGTTTTCTTAAGCCACAGATTAATTCTTAATTATTTATTTTTTTAATTTCTAGATGAAGGTTGTGCTACAGTTGGGTTTTCTTAAGCCTAAGAAATTAAGAAAATGCGAACGTAACCCCATCGATAGCACAATTTATGACACAGATGCAATTTTTTTAATCTGAGATTAGATTTTTAATCTGTAATATAGATTAAGAAAACCCGAACATTAGCCCAAAATCTAATCTATAATATAGATCAATGGATATATTTACACCATCAATCGGATTTCTAGGTTTATATTTTAATCCATAATCTAGATTAGATTGGCTTGATACATTTCTATTTTAATCTAATCCATAATCTGGATTAGATTTCTAGTTTATCCCTTTTTCTAGATTATCCCAAATCTGATGCTGGTGCCGGTTTTTAACGGCAGAGGCGGCACCAGACCCTGTTTCATTCCATTCTCCGCGCTTCTCCGTCCCGGTAATCGGCCGCTTTTCTGAGATCGAAGAGGCGGCGCCGTAGCAGGAGCTGGGAGGGGTTAAAAATGGAAATTTTCGGGGGGTTTTTCGGATTTTTTGGCACAGAGGTGGCGTGATAACGGAAGAGAGGAGCCAGAAAACAGGGTAGAGAGGAGAAAAGTGGTGAAAATCGGCGTCTTTTTGGCTCAGCCCTTCAAAAAAGAGCTAGAGGTTGGACAGGCAAGAGGAGGCTGGTGGGATTCGAGGAGACGACGACAGAAAGACGCAATAAATGAAATAAGTGATAAATTAAAGACGCAATAAATTAATGATAAATAAGAGATGTGAAAAGAATAATACTCAGCCACTTGGATGGCTGGTTGGAGCCTTCACTTGTAGGTGGAAGGGGGAGAAATAAAACTGATGATGAAATATTTTCTCTTCTCTTAAAAAAAAAAAAAACAACAAAAAAACCCAACAAAAAATACCCAAAAAATGAACTCCTTGGGTTCCTCCTGCGGCTAGCTCTGGGTATCTTAGGAGGGAGCAGAAGGACACGGGGCGGTCGCGATCCTGGAAATGAGGAATTTCAGGAAGGAGCTTTGACTTAAGGGTGGACAGATAGTTGGGAAAAATGGAAATCCCAATTTTTTCCATCGGTATCTGGTGTTTGTAGGCGTCCGTGGACTCTTTTGCTTCGCTAAACTGTTGATGTCCGTTAAAAAATATCGAATTATCTGGAGGTTGCTGTAGTTTTCGATGCCTTGGGTCGCTGCCGGGGATTAATCGCTGCGTTTGTTCCGTCAGATACGGGATCTGAAGGCATCTGTGCCTGGAGCCACGGACGATAGATGGACAAGCCAAGCAACTTCTGACTCTGCATCGTTTTCCGGGGCAAAATTCGATGGCCATGTATCCCACAAGGTAACGTAGAGGATTTTTTTTTTTTTGCTCAACCACCGCCCGATAAGGAGAGTTTATCACTCGAGAGCTTCCCTTTAATACGCGACTTAGAGGAATCAGCATCGCCCCGGAGAAAAATTTGAGGAATTTTGCAAGAGGTGGAAATTCAGATTGTTTCCAGATCATGTTTTGAGGCAGATCTCTCCGCAGGGAAGAAAATCAGGAGGAAAATGAGAGCTGGGAGTTAAGAGAGAGGTTTCACGGGACAGCTGAGCTCACAGCTCACTGGATGTCGTTCTCCTGTATCTAAATTATCCCATAAAATATCCCGGGGGAGCCAAGGCAGCGGTCTTGCCGCTGGAGCGATGCTTCAGCTGGCTCAGAGCCTTGAAAAGTTTAAAACCCATCATCTAAAGACTAAAATTTGGTGTGTTAGTGGGTCGGTGTTGGGTTTAGGCCGGTAAAGCAGCAGAGCTCAGGCTTTAGGGAGAGATTTGAGACCGGCTGCGGTGTTACGGGGACTTGGACGCAACAGGTAAAATCCAACAAAAATTTCATCTCTCGGGCTCCCCGTCCCTTGCTGCGTCCAGACCAGAACCAGAGCCACAGAGCTGCTCCACGGCAGCAGAATAGAAACCCAAACCCGTGGCCAGATGGTTGCCGTGAGCTTTTTTTCAAGATCCCAATCAGTTCTCAATCCTAAACCCAATTGGTTCTGCCCCAGCTGAGAAGGGACAGGGTAACCCCAAGAGCGGAGAGATGGAGAACACTTTCTTCCTCGTTTTCCCCCAGGTATCACTTGAAATTAGTCAATAACGAGGCTCTTAATTAGTCCCAAACGATGTATAGTGCTCTTTAATTAATAGTTGAACATCTTAAGCTTAATACGTGCTCGGCGTGAAATTAGACGAAGGCTGCAGGTCACGGAGGGTGGCGTTACCCGCGGAATGTCCAGCGAGGGGGAAGTTTCTTACCCCGGGATACGGAATGCTGACATCATTCGTTGGGGCAACGCAACGCTGTCTCTCGGCGAGCCGGGGCACGAGGTCTAGTTGCCCGAGTTAGTCTGGCGGATATCCGCGGGTTTATTTTTAAGCTGCGCCTTGTACCAAAAACCTGGGGTTGAAGTGACCTCGTCTCCCTTCTCCTCGTTCGCAGGGTGTCCGGTGAGGAATGTAATGGGATCAACAGCATGTCGGCGGAGAGCGGCCCTGGAACGCGACTGAGGAATTTACCGGTGATGGGGGACGGACTGGAAACCACCCAAATGTCTACGACGCAATCCCAGGCTCAACCTCAGCCAGGCAGCGCCGTAGGCGTGAATCCCCCACCGCCGGAGACCTCCAACCCCAACAAACCCAAGCGCCAGACCAACCAGCTGCAGTATCTGCTCAAGGTGGTGCTGAAGACGCTGTGGAAGCACCAGTTTGCGTGGCCTTTCCAGCAGCCCGTGGACGCCGTCAAGCTGAACCTCCCCGTAAGTAGAGGTCGAGGGACCAGACGATGGGGCTTGGTGGAAGGAGGGAGACTGGTTGGGGCTGGTATCCGACCTTCCGGAGTCACAGAATCCAGCTTTAATGGTTGGACTTGATCCAGCGGTTGGATTCGATGGTTTAATGGTTGGACTTGATGATCTAACGGTTGGTTTTGATGGTTTAATGGTTGGACTTGATCCAGTGTTTGGACTCGATGATCCAATGGTTGGACTCGATGATCCAGCAGTTGGACTCGGGGATCCAACGGGTGGACTCAATGGTCTGACGGTTGGACTCGATGATCCAACAGTTGGTTTTGATGGTTTGATGGTTGGACTTGATCCAGTGTTTGGACTCGATGATCTAACGGTTGGACTCGATGATCTAACGGTTGGACTCGATGATCTAACGGTTAGACTTGATCCAGTGGTTGGACTTGATGATCTAATGGTTGGACTTGATCCAGTGGTTGGACTCGATGATCCATCGGCTGGACTTGATGATCCAGTGGTTGGACTCGATGATCCAACGGTTGGACTCGATGGTTTAATGGTTGGACTCAATCCAGTGGTTGGATTCGATGATCCAACGGTTGGACTCGATGATCTTAAGGCTCTTTTCCAACCCCAGTGATTCTGTGATCTTCTAGAAAACACACCAGGAGGGATCTCCAGTGGCTCAGCTGCTGCTTTGCCTTTTACCACCCTCCTCTTTCCGCCAGGATGCGGAGAAGGAAATAGGAATTCGATTTTAGGCGTCAGGGAGGGCGAGGCTGCAGCCCTTTGTCCCCCAGTCAAGCACCAAAAATTATTAAGCACCAGAAATTCTTGAGCACAGAGAATTAAGCATCAAAAATTACTAAACATCAAAAATTATTCAGCACCAAAAATTGTTGGAAGGTCTCCCTGGAGCCTTCTCCTTGAACAACCCCAGCTCCCTCAGCCTGTCCTCATACCGGTGGAAATCCTCGGATGAGGAGAACGAGAAAAATCTGGAGGACGTAGGAAGAACGGCCGAGGGATCTAGGGGGGGTTAATCTGGAGAAAAGGAGGCGGAGGGGAGACCTCATCCCACCTGGAAGGAGGTTGTTGGGGTCGGTGTTGTGAGGAAACAGCCTCAATTTGCACCAGGAGAGGTTCCGATGGGATATTGGGAACAACTCCGGCACCCAAAGCGTTGTCCAGCGCGGGGACAGGCTGCCCGGGGACATCCCCGGAGAGGTTCAAACGCCGCGTCACCGTAGCACTCGGGGACGGAGTTGGCAGCGTTGGGTTGACGGTTGGACTCAGTCTTCAAGGTCTTTTCCAACCTCAATAGTTCTGTGGTTCTAAATCACCAACATCACCAAAAAAAAATAAAATCGGAGCATGATTTTGAGATGGTTTGTTAAAGTAAATCACGGCAGCGGCTCCTCTGCCCTGTGGGTGGTTCAGACTCTTCCAGCTCCCACCAGAAGAGGTTTGTTCCCTTCCTCCCTCGAGTTACTCTCCTTTGACAGAGGTATTTTTGCATAAAACTCCTTTTTTTCTCCATTTTTTAACACACAGTATCTCTAAATACACGATCTTTAACCCAAACATTTAATTTCTATTCAAAATAGAAATTTTAATTTAATTTCTTCCCGGCTATTTAATTTCTTCCCGGCCGGAGCGAGCTCCCTGTTGAATCTGGAGAGTGCCGATTCTATGGCGACCCCGTTTCCAACCCTCTTGATTTTTTTTTTTTCCTCCTTAAATTATACCTAAAAATAGCAACACCTTCTCCTGCCTTAATCCGGACGTGTTTAAGGGGCTGGAATAAATCCGATTTCCCCGCTTCTTGCCTCCTGTGACCTCCTGCTCCAGCTCATGCATCCAATAGGAATTACTCAGCACCGTTACCAACCAAAAAAATCCAGAATTTAGGAAATTTTGGGGTCTCTGGGGTTAAATTATTCCTCTCCCTAAGGTTTATCCTGCTGTTTAACTAAAATTCCCAACGGAGAAGCTGATGGTGACAAAATCCGGCAGCAAAATCCCTGCTGGGTTTGGAGGATCTCGCCACGGCGGGAATGAGCCGGAGGAATCCCCGACCGTCATCTCCGTGCAAAAACCCGCGATGTTTTATTTCCCGCGCCGACGTCTCCCTCTTTGCCCTTTTTGCAGGATTATTATAAGATAATTAAAACGCCGATGGATATGGGAACAATAAAGAAACGCTTGGAGAATAACTACTACTGGAACGCTCAAGAATGTATCCAGGATTTTAACACGATGTTTACAAACTGCTACATCTACAATAAGGTACGAAAAGTTCCCCAGGCTGTGTGGTAAGATTTTTGGGTTTGTTTTTTTTTTTTTTTCCCCAAGGGAAATCTTCCGCGTCATAGAACGGTTTGGGTTGGAAGGGACCTTGATGACCATTGAGTTGACCATTGACCATCTGCTCCCCCACCTCCCACCAGCCCGGGTTGCCCAAAGCCTCATCCAGCCTGGTCCTGAACCCCTCAGGGATGGGCCATCCACAGCTTCTCTGGGCAACCTGGGCCACTGCCTCACCCCCCTCCTGTAGCCCCCTTTCACCCCTGGAAGGTGCTCCAAGGTCTCTTCTTCTCCTTGAACACCCCCAACTCTCTCAGCCTGTCCTCGCGCGGGAGCTGCTCCAGCCTCGGACCATCTCTGTGGCTCCTCTGGCCCCGCTCCAGCAGTCCGTCCAGCAGCTCCAGGTCTTTTTTCTGTTGGGGTCCAGAGCGGAGCAGACGGGGACAATCCCCTCCTTCCACCTCCTGCTCACGCTTCTTTTGGTGCCCCCAGGACACGGGGGGGTTCTGGGCTCCAGCATGTTGCCGGCTCATGTTGAGCTTCTCATCCCCCAACACCCCCAAGTCCTTCTCCTCCGCTGCTCCTCGTGGGGTTTTATCTCTCAGACGTGGATTTCTCCGCGTTATTCCGACAAATCGCATCCCGTATGCCTTTGGGCTGCGCCGTGGTGGAAATAGTGATGCTGAAGAGGGTGAAAATATGAAATCAACTCTCTGGGAATATTTCCATTTAGATATTTATTGATATAAAGGCAGATTTGTCCCCAAATTCTTTGCCTGATTTCTCATCTGTTTTTCCACCAGCCAGGGGATGACATAGTCTTAATGGCAGAAGCTCTGGAAAAACTTTTCTTGCAAAAAATCTCCGAGATGACCCAGGAGGAGACGGAGATCGTCATCGCGCAGACGAAGGGAAGAGGCCGCGCGAGGAAGGAAGCAGGTACGGCCGCTCGCTCGGGTCACGGCGCCGGCTTCACCCCGCGCCCCAGCGCAGGGACCTGGCTTCATCCTGCCTAAATGAGGGCGTTTCATTCATTAAACCGCGGGATCGCCCTCGTTTTGGGGCCTCGGTTTGGTGAGCAAAGCGTCGAAAACAGGGCGGGAGGGAGGGGGATGGCATAAAGCTTCTCGTCCGTGGCTTCTGGGAAAAATTTTTGGGATGGAGGAGGGTTGGGGACAGACTCTGCAGGAAATCCAGAGCCGCCGGGGCACGAGGAGTTATCCTGCTGGTGGAACGTCGTCGTTCCCGGCTTTTCCACGAAGATAAAAAGCCAAGAGCGACACTCAAAGCCAAGAACGCTGAGATGATGGAAACCCGCATGAATTCCGTCGTATCAAACCTCCGGGAGTTTCACAGCCACCTTCACGCCCTCCCGGCTGGACTCTGTGCCGTCAAAAAGCCGCGTTGCGTCCCCCGAGGAACCGATCGGTAAAATGATGTTTGTTAAGATCTTGAGGCATTATGTTCATTATGTCGTTTGTTTTTTTTTTTTTTTTAAATTTTGCTCCCAGATTAGGAATTTACAGCATCCAAATTTACCATTTTTCTCACTTAATCCAACCCTCTCTCTACTCTGGCAGTTCAGACACCGATTCATTGATTTTTGGTCTGTCTCGTGGAAAAACATCTCATATAGAGTAAAAAAAAAAAAAAAGAGGTGAGCGCTGAGGAGCTGCCAGGTGAAAAAAAACCCAACAACATTGCTGCTCCGAGTTCTGTGGCTCCCTCTCCTCTTTAAATACCGTCACGATACTGAAGGCTCCTCGGTTTTCCACTCCGTCTTCTCCGTAATAATTGAATTCTTTCACTCTAAGGTGTTTTTTCCAGTCTCTTCATCCTCCTTTTCAGCTCTTTATGAACCTTCTCCATTTTTTTGCACGTCAATTACTGCAGACGCCGAATCTGGACGTAGACGTGACGGCCCCTAGAGGTAAAACTGCTCCTGGAGGTAAACCAGCCTCAAATTCCCCCGTTTATACCTCGAGGATTCCTGTTTTTTCTGGAATCTGGAGTTCTCAGCTCCGTTTTTTTGGGATACCAGCCGTTCCCCAGGCTCGACGTCGGCTGCTGGCAAACGCCGTCAGATCGTCCATCGATGGGTTGAGAACATCCCAGTCCCGAGACATGACCTCAGCAGCTCCTCACATCCGCTTTCAACATCCCCTTCCGAATTTTAAACCTCTCACCTCGGGCTGGCCGTGCTGGGATCCCAGTGGGGTATTTCCTGAAGTTTACTGGGAATCAGGCCGGGGAGCTGGAGGCTCGACCCTCGAGGGGTTTGGGGACCAGGTGTTGGGATGATGGAGAAAAAAATCCGACGTCGGTAGTTGTTGCTGAACGTTCTCAGGAGCTGCTGGAAGAGAAAATCTGTCTGTGCTGCCATCGCCCGGGCAGCCGGCGCAAATTCAGAGGATTTATTCAATCCCCCGGGCTTTCCCCGATTTATTACCGACAGCTGTCATCTTTCTGCCTAGAGCGATTTGGGATGATTTCCAGAACATCCTGGAATCGTAAAGCCGAACGTCTCAAACTCTTTTAATTATTTTGCCTTTCTTTTCTTTATTTTTTTTTTTTAATTTTCCCTTCCCTTGGCAGGTCTCCCTCCCTCCGTCACAGGCCGGGCTCGTGTCCCCGCGTGTTTTTCTTGCGCAGCTCCGGTTCTCCTTTTTTCTGTCTCGTCGAATCCTTTCGCCTTTGGGAAATCCTGATTTTGAAGCGCCGACAAACCCGATCGAAGCTTTTTTTCTGTGTGTGAATAATAACGTGACAGAATAACTCGATATTCCCTCTATGGAGCATCCGTTCAGGGACCCATGAGATCATTTTCCTCGCATCTGCTGCGCCTCCTTAAATCCCATTCTGCGCTGAATTCAGCGCGTCGTCACCGGTTTGGGGTTAAATTGTTCAAAACCAGGTGTGATGGTGGCCGGAAGCTTTGCTGGGAAATCCCCCGCAGGTTTCTCCTGGAAACCTCCAGCTCCTTGGGAGAGGGAGGAGGTGGAAGGTGTCGGCTTTGCAGAGATTCTGCACGGTCCCAGCAGGACCCACAGGATCCCAGCAGGACCCAAGGTATTCCAGTGGCACCTATGGGATCCCAGCAGGACCCATGGGGTCCCAGCATCACCCACAGGATCCCAGCAGGACCCACAGCATTCCAGCAGGACCCAAGGGATTCCAGTGGCACGTACGGGATCCCAGCAGGACCCGTGGGATTCCAGCAAGACCCACAGGATTCCACCAAGACCACAGAATCCCAGCAGGACCCACGGGATCCCAGCAGGATCCATAGGATCCCACCAAGACCCACAGGATCCCAGCAGGACCCGTGGGTTTCCAACAAGACCCTCGGATCCCAGCAGGACCCACAGGAACCCAGCAGGACCTACGGGGTCCAAGCAGGATCCATAAGATCCCGCCAAGACCCACAGGATCCCAGCAGGACCCAAGGGATTCCAGTGGCACCCCCAGGATCCCAGCAGGACCCACAGGATCCCAGTAAGACCCTGGGATCCCAGCAGGAACCCCAGAATCCGAGCAGGATCCATAGGATCCCACCAAGACCCACGGGATCCCAGCAGGATCTATAGGATCCCAGCAAGACCACAGGATCCCAGCAGGACCCAAGGGATCCCAACAAGACCCTGGGACCCCAGCAGGACCCCGGGAATCCCAGCAGGATCCATAGGATCCCACCAAGACCCACGGGATCCCAGTAGGACCCACAGGATCCCTCCGGCCACCAGTCCCCACTGCTTTGGCGACGCGGGCGCTCCGCCGTCCCTTCGCCCAGAGGACGGGGCGAAACCTCCCGATTTCCTTGTTTCCTCGACTTGCTGCTCCTCCAGAACGGGAACCGTGAGATCCCGATTAACGAGGAACGGTTTTTAAATGGCGTCGTTACAAAACACTAATTGCTTTATCCCGTTAAAACAACCCAGTTTGCCGGGAGGAGTGACCCTTTTTTTTTTGTCTCTTTTTCTCGGCAGTGACATCCAAACCG